GGGAGAGCTGTTTCTTTCTCTTCCCCACCCCCAACTCCCCGTCCTGCCCCCATTTACGGTGGGCGGGGAACTCAGCCAGCGCCCACACCCCTCAGCATGACCATCCGAGAAAAACGACTTCCCTTTGTTGTTCCCGTTGGTGACCCACATCCGTGGCCCACATCTGTGTCTCAAGCAAGCGTCTGTGTTTTCAGGGCACCGATGACAGCCGGGCCGGGCTGCCCAGGCCCCGCTCACACTGCCTGCCCTGGTGAGCGGCCCCTGCCGGCCTGGAACCTGCCGCCGGGATGAGGTCCAAGCCGCGGCCACCCAGGCCGGTGTTTCCCAGACAGAGAGGGGGTGAGGGACTGGAAGTCCTCAGGAGAAGCCGAGGTACACAGATTCGGGGACCGGTGCTGGGTCAAACCTTTGCTGTGGGGGGACTCCTGGGCCTGGTGTCTCAGCCACACATCTCTGCCCAAAAAATAAAAGGAGGCCACCAAAAGGGCGCCCAGCAGAAACCTTTGTCTCCTGAGGTGTGGGGGCGTTTTCCAGGACCCCCGACAAACCGATGCTCTTGACCGCATCGCTTTCATTGACTTGGAGTATTCGTCGGCTTGGGCATCCGTGGCAAAGCAGCACAGACTGCTGGCTCCTCCCAGGGCTGGAGGCTGGAGGCCAGGATGACGGCAGCGCCTCCGAGGCCTCTTCTGGGTCAGGAGGCGGCTGCCACCTCGCCGTGTGCTCACCAAGCCTCCTCTCGGCGCGTGTGTGGGGCGGGTGGCAGCGAGCCCTCCGGTGTCTCTTTTTCACCTTCCCGAACTGAAACGCTGTCGCCATGAAACACTAACTCCGCACCCCCACCTCCGCCTCCGGGAACAACCATCCTGCCTCTGCGAATCTGGCTCCTTCCATAGTTGCTGTGAGTGGAACCTTCAGCATTTGCCTGTTTACGACGGGCTCGCGCCAGCCAGCATCAGGCCCCCGCGGTTCATCCACATCGTGGCCTGGGTCGGCTTCTTTCCTTTTCATGGCTGAGTAATATTCCCCTGTGAGGATATACCGCCTTCTGTTTGCCCGTGCACCTGTCAGCGGGCACCTGGGCTGCGCCCACCTTCGGCCGTCGTGAGTAACGGTGTTACGAACACGAATGTGCCGCTCTCTGCCTGAGCGCCTGTTTTCGCGTCCTTTGGGCACGTCCCCAGGAATAGGACTGCCGGGTCCCGTGGTGCTTCGAAGGCGTTTAACGTGACAGCTGCTGTCCGCGTGGCTGCGCCATCGTACTTTTCCGCCAGGAGTGGATGAGGGTTCACGTTCTCTGCGTCCTCACCCATGCCTATGGCTGTTATTTTTGGCGCCATCGTTTCTTTCGGGCGCTGGCTCATTTGTTTGCTTGCGTTTTGTAGCAGGGACCCTAACGGGGTGAGGGAGTCTCTCGTCGTGGTTTTGGTTTGCATGTCCCAAATGTCTGAGGGCGTGGAGCGTCTTGCGCCGTGTTTATTGGCCACCTGCGTATGGCCTTTGGAGAGCAGTCGGGTCAAGACCTCTCCCGCCGTCAGGCTCCGGGCCCGGCTAACCCGGCCTCCCCAGCGCGCCCCACGCTCCCTTCCGTCTCCCCACCCTCTGGGCTGTGTGAGCTCAGGCTCTGTCACCTGCACCGTCACTCACGACGCAGCGCTCCGTGGCTTCCGCCTCCCCCCACCTAACCCACCTCCAGACGGGACCAACAGAGAAGCTTCCATCTTGGCTGCCCGCCCAGACCCATTAGTTTCTTTTCCCTTCTCAGCGTCATCACCCACTTCTTCCTTCCCTGAAGACCCCCAGCTCGGCTCAGGTGCCCTCGCCCCCCCATCCAGCCCTTGCGCCCTGGGGGAAGCTGACCCCAGCCCTAGTCCCGGGACTCGGCCCAGTTTCACAAGGGGGTGATCCAGTCCCGCTGTTAGGCACGAGTTAGGAGCGGTCATGTACCTGCGTCCGCTCAGGGCTACAGGGAGAGAGAGTTGTTGGAGCTCCCTGGGAAATCGCTTCTTAGAGGGGGAGCCACTTCGCAGATGTGAGCAAGGAAGCATTTAGTCCCCGCCGGTCCCGGTAGCTGTCCTCCCGCCCCTAGATGAGCCGGCTTTGCGGTGAAGCCAACAGCCTGGTAGAGACTGGAGAGGCTGGGGCCAGGGAGCGAGCATCTTCAGCTTCTGGATTCACAGACCTCCCTCGACCCTGGACCTCCCATCATGTGACTTAGTAGATTCCTTAATAGTTTAAGCTAATTTTAGTTGGCTTTTCTGTTATTTGCAGCCAAATGAATTCTACCAGAGGCACAGGGTGGTTTGAAATAAAAACACGGTTGTATCAACCCCCTGCTTAAAGGGTCTCTGCTCCTGAGGATGCTGCCACGGGAGCACGGGAGCACGGGAGTCCGCCCAGCTGGTGGCAGCTGATGGCACGTGGCCTTTCCCAACTCTGCAGTGTCGCCACCGGAGCAGCTCGAAATCAGCCGCGGCGGGCACATCTACACCAGGAAATTGGCAAACGCTCCAGTCGGGGCTTCGTCCTCCAAAGAGCTGCTGGGCGAGCATCTGTCAGCTCACGCTGTCTTGATGTAACGCGCCCGCCTCCCCCGGCGGCCCCGCCCCCTCTCTGGCTTCTTCCCCAGAGCTCCCCCAGGGCTGTGGCCACGGCGAACGTGCCATTTTGCAGCTATGCTGCGGAGGACCTGCCCTCAGGTCCCGGCCAGCGGCCCCTCAAGCACAGAGTCACTGCCGAGGGTCACGCAACCATCAGGGACCCGTGGCAATGTTTCCATTTCTCTTAAAACGAAAAGAGAAAAGTGAACTCTTAGGTCGAAGAAATGCCTGAGTCTGTAATGCCACACATTTTTCTTTTACCGGTTCAGTTAGTGAAGTATGGTGGTACCCGTTTCTTACGGAGGAGGGACCCCACGAAGGCTGCAGAGCTGGGCCCAGCAAAGCTACCAGGTGGCTCATCGCATCACGGTAGGTCGCTCATCCACCTGTCAGACTCGCCTCTCGGAAGCCTTCCGAAACCTCCCAGCCTTCACGACACTGTTTATACTTTTGAAATATGGTCGGAACAATGCGGATGCAAATAAGGAAGATTCCTCTACAGTGACACTTACTCGCGTGCGACCGTCTCTCCCCTGCACTAACCCGTGACCACATTTGGAGACGGTGACCATGTTTTATTCTACGCCGTAGCTCTGGGAGCCCAGGGATCCTGCTCAGGCTCCACGTGGTGCGTGCCAGACATCTTTCCTTTGAATGAATGAATGAATGAATGAGTGACCGTGTATCAGTCTGCTCAGGCAGCCATAACAAAGTACCGCAGATCGGGTGGCTTAAACCATAGAAATTTGTTTTCTCGCAGTTCTGGAGGCTCGAAATCCAAGGTCAAGGTATCAGCGGGGTTGGTTCCTCCAGGCCTCTGTCCTCGGCTGGCAGATGGCTCTGTCCTCCGTGTGTCTTCACGTGGTCTTTCCTCTGTGTGTGTCTGTGCCCTGATTTCTTCTTTTAAGGACACTTCGTTTTAGCTCGATTACTTCCTTAAAGACGCTTTCTCCACATAGAGTCAAAAACACAGAGAGGGCTGTCGGGTTCTCAGAAGCTGACTAACCTACGTGCATAAAATAGTTTTTTCAAGGAGCGGCTGTTTTCTCTTTTCTGGGGTGTTTATTGGGACCTAATGAATCACAGGCGTGCTCTCCGGTTGCGTCACCCCAAAAGGATGAGGGGCACGCATCTGGTGGAAACGCGATTTGTCGATTGGCGGATGGGACACAGGCCGAAGCCACATATTTCCACTCGAGGTGAATTTCTGTCCTTGGGAAAACTGGCCGCCTGTCTGGGAGTCCGGGACCTCAGGGGGCCCCGCCATGCGACACGGGTCTCAGATTAGACGTCCCATTTTTCACTCTCGTCCTTCTCACCTCTGAGCCTCGGACGCTGGGGCTGGAACCCCAAATTCGGCATCGCGGAGCTGAGGAAACAGGTCACCTGGGGCTTGGCCGGCACTGCAGCTCCTCACTCTCATTCCGGGGGTGCTCCCACCACCTTCCACCCCCCCACCCCACCACTCAGTTATCAGGCCTTGCTTCAAAGCTTCTCTGGAACAGGGTGGAGTCTGAACAACATCCAATCGATTGCTGGTTAAGCGATCCCCACCCTGGACCGTGGGGCCTCCGGGCAGGTGGGCCGCAGCTGCGAAGCGGAAGAAGGCTGGGCTGGCCCGGGAGCCGGGGAGGTGACACGGCGCTTACGCCGAAGGCAGCGAGCACCTGCGGTCCCGCCTCGCGTCTGAACACCCGCGTCCTTCCGCTTTTCTCAGCGGCTCTGAAGCTCCTCCGTGGGACGCAGGGCGCCCTAACCCGCCGCCCCTTTCCGAGTTGGGGAAGGCCTTGAAGGCAGACTTTGTCCCACCCCAGGTGAGAAGTCACGATGGACACCTGGGCCTGGCGCTCCGTGCGCGCGCGGACAGGGCGACAGAACACGAATGACCCCCACGGGCGCTTTTCTGCCGTCCAGGCCTGGGCTTAACCCAACCTGGTCAGACGGCCGCGTGTGGAAGACACGCCGCGGTGACCCCACTGTTCATCCTGGGGCCGTCACAGCCGCGCGCGCCGATCCCGCCCCAGGCGCCCATGGGGACCTGGAGCCGACAGGGCTGGCGGAGACGCCACCCCCTGCCAAACCATGGCGCACAGACGCCACCCCCTGCGGAGACGCCACCCCCAGCTGAACCGTCCTGCAGACGCCACCCCGATGAACCCCCTGCGCAGACGCCACCCCCGCCGCACCGTCCCGAGTCCTGAGGTCACAGCCCCGGCTCCCACGAGGAAAGCGCTCTGCCGGACCGTGCGTCCTCCCGCGCCACTTCAGAGCGAGTCGGCTGACAGCGTAGGTGCCACGGCGCATCCTCCGAACGCCCCAGCGCTTCTCATCCGAACTGCGCCGGGAGCTGTGCTTGTCTCCGGGAATGAGGAGGCCGGAGCGCACGGCGAGGAGGGCCCCGCGCCGAAGGGCCAGGGCCGAGGGCGACAGAAGACGCAG